GGTAGTTGGCTTAGTGGGTAAGAGCACTTGCTGTGTAAGATGAGGATCTGAGTTCAAACCCCTAGCACCCATGTAAAAATCCAGGTGTGGTGGCATGTGCCTGTAACCCCAGTATTGTGGGGAGTTGAGACAGGAGGATGACTGGGGCTTGCTGGCTGTCAGCCTAGGTCCAGGCTCAGGGAGAGACCTGGTCTCAAGGGAATAGGTGGCAAGTGATAGGGCAGGACACTTGACATCCCTCTCCGGCCTCTAAACACTGCAGGGCATGAGCATCTGCACGCACATGTGTATGTATACCATATACACACTGAAAGAAAAGGCAGAGAAGGAAACCTTTGAGCTGAAGGAATGTTTTGGTTTTATTTTGTGGTTGTTTAAAGTTTTTTGTTTTGCGGGGAGGGTTTTTTTTTGAGACAGGATCTCCCTGTAGCCCCAGCTGGCCTAGAACTCTCCATGTAGACCAGGCTGGCCTTGAACTCACAGCAATCCACCTGCCTCTGCCTCCCAAGTGCTGAGATTAAAGGTGTGCACCACCAAGCATGGCTGTAAGGATTTTGTTTATTTTTTCAGTTGTATGTGTATGTGAGCTTGTGTGTGCAGTGCCTGCAGAGGCCAGAAGGGGGTGTCAGATTCCCTGGAGCTGAAGTTACAGGCAGTTATGAACTGCCTGATGTGGATGCTGGGAACCAAACTCCAGTGAGTTGGAGAAATCATTCTGGAATACAAATACAATCACAGCATTCTTCCCTCCTAGGACCTTCTGGGGGCTTCCAACTTTCAATACTGCTCAAACTCCTTATCAGGGTCTTCCATCATTGGCCCCAGCATCTGGTCTCCACCTTCCTCCTCTGTCTTCTCTCACCATCATCCATCATGGCCTCCTGGTCTCCATTTTGACTCTGGAGTTCCTGCACCTGTAGCTCTGGCTTCCCACAACGCTGTTCTCCCAACTGTTGTGACCACTGGCTTCTCCCGTTGCTCTCTCTGTCCCTGACTGCTTTGAATCAAGCTCTGACAATTCATCTCACTGTCTGGACAATTCCTAACAGCATCAGACATCCTGCCTAACTTGCTTATTTTCTGCTGTCTCCACTAAAGTATGAGCTCCACTAGGGCACTTTGCTACATACCCAACACAGTGCCTGGCACATAGTAGGCATTCATATTTTCACACTAAGTGACCCCTGCCTTACTTGTTCATGTCTCCCCATATCCGGTCTCCCTGGCAGTCTCTGTTGTACAACAATTTTCTCTGAATTGGAACACTCCCTCCAGGAAGAAGCTAGGAGGCTCATGAACTCCATAAGTAAACAAACACAGGTCTGGGAAAACTGAAGCTTAAAAGATTCATGAGGGCCCCTCCCCAAGGTTATGAAAGCAGAAAACGACTGCTGTGGGGAGGAGACTTTGACCAGTGGAATTTCCCAGATGAGATTTTTCCTGCCTATCAAGTCACTTGCAAGTCCTGCAGAGAGCTACAGGGACCCAGCTAGCTTCTTCTGAGCCATCCAGGCTCCTGGTAACCCCTCACCCATGCTGCTGTTAGTAACCACTGGTTCAACAAGTCAGGCTTTGGTGTAATCATTACTTTGGTCTGTCCCTATGCAGTGGGTTGACCGTGTGTGCGTGTGTAGTGTGTTTCCCCAGGAGAAGTCTCACGCAACAGCCCCCTCCCTCACTGATCCAGGCCTTAACTGTGTGGCATATTTTGACCAACCATATAGGTTCACCAGGTTGCCAGCAAAGGCTTAAAACATGCTTAGGAAGGCTGGAGAGATGACTCAGAGGTTAACAGCACTGCTGCTCTTGCAGAGGACCAGAGTTTGGTTCCCAGCACCCACATGGTGCTCACAAACACCTCTAACTCCAATTCTAGGAGATCTGACACCCTCTTCTGGCCTCTGAAGGCAACTGTACTCACATGACCCCCAATTTAAAATGTTTTAATAAATCATTTAGAGTATTTATTTTATGTGGATGAGCATCTGCCTAAGTGTATGTAAGTGTATCCTTGCATCCAATACCCATGGAGGCCAGAAGAGGGTGTCAGATGCCCCGTAACTGGAGTTACAGATAGCTGCTGGCCTCCATGCGTGTACTGGGAAGCAAACCCAGATCCTCTACTAGAGTAGTCAGGGCGCTTGGCCTCTGAACCATCTCTACACCCCTAATAAGTCATTTAAAGTGTTTAGGGATCCCGGCATTTCTCTGTCGCTCACAATTCTCCAAGGACTCCCATAAGAATAAGCCTGCTGGAGGTGTGAGACTTAATGATCAGCACAACAGAGTCCGTCAGTCAGACATGAGAACGAGGCCACCTAAGAACCAGCCAGTTTCCCCACCAGCTCCTCATGACCTCACAGGGAGAAAGTGCAAGCAAGGATAACAGGAGAAATGTCCCCTAAGGTCATGTCAAGGTGAAGACCCATGGAATTCAAACCTATACCGGCTGGTTACATTGAGTAATTAAGTGTTGGGGTGACTTGTTACACAGAAAAAGCTGACTGACTCAATGTTCCCCATGGATTATGGACTCAGTGAGTGACAGAATGAAAGTTCAGTTTCTCCCTAAGCTCTACTGAGAGTGTCCCATTTGCCCACCTCTCACAGGATGCCTCACCTTTCTCATCCAGGTCACAGCTGGAGGCCCCGACCTCCACAGCCTCCCAGTCTTTGGAGAAGGTGGGATGGGATGGCTTCTCCCAGGACCTGCTGTCTCGAGGCAGCAGCATCTTTGTCTTCTCTGGCTCCAGCAGCCCCCGAGTCTGCTCAGTCTTGAGGCTCTGCATCTCCCTGGATGTAGGTCTTCTAAAACAGGCTTCCCCTTCTCCTGTTCCAGCTTCCTATCCCAGGCACAGGATCCAGAACCTGAGGACTGACAGACACTTAGTCACTCAATGAACAGTTACCAAGTGACAGGTGGGTGTCAGGCAAGACGCTAAATGCTAAAAAGAGAGCAGTGGGGCATAAGTACATGTAAGAAGCTGTCTGTCTGTCTGTCTGTCTGTGACAGGGTTTTGCTATACAGCCCAGGCTAGCTTCTATTCACTGTGTAGTCTAAGCTAGACTATAACTCATGATCTTCCTGTCTCAGCCTACTGAGTGCTAGGATAACAAGTGAGTTCCACCCCACCGGGCTAACCCACCTTTGTTTTAGAGGAGTTCTTGAAGAAGACAGAGAATTTATGTGACAGCTTGGATCTACTGTGAAATACTTTTGCAGGGACTGGAGAGATACTCAGCTATTAAGAGCACTGGCTGCTCTTGAAGAGGACCCAGGTTTGGTTCCTAACACCCACATGCTGGCTGACCATCATCTTTAACTCCATTTCCAGGGGATCTGACATCCTTTTCTGGCCTCCCTGGGAATTTTATGGATGCACTTACATACATGCAGGCAAAACACTCATACATATAAGATAAAAATAAATTAAGATGTAAAAGATGTAAATGTAAAGGACACCACATGATCTCGCATACATGCTGTAATGGTTACCTTTAATTGCTGAATCAGCCTGGGAAGAAAGTCTCAATGAGGGGTCGTCTAGATCAGGTTGACCTGTGGGCATGTCTGTGGGCAAGTCTCCTAAGCTGATTGATGTGGGAAGACCCAGCCCACCATGGGCAGCACCACTCCCTGGGCAGGGGTCCTGAACTGGGTAAGACTGGAGGGATCCAGCTCAGCACACGCCAGCATGCATGCATATCACTCAGCTCTTGACCATGGATGTGATGTAACCAGCTGTCTCCAGCTCCTTCTGCTCTCACCTCCCCGCAGTGATAGACTGTAATCTGGAACTGTGGGCTAAAATAAAACCTTTCTCCCCTAAGCTGCTTGATGTCAGGGTATTCTATCACAGTAACAGAAACAAACCTAGAATACATGTAAAAGGTTAAAAAAAATTGACAAAAGACTAGGATAGGGTTACCAGAACCTGGGAAGAATATGGGGGAGGGAGAGTGGAGAGGATGGACAACAGGTACGGGAGATCAGCTTGGCAAGAGGAACACGTCCTAATGCTTTTTAGCACTGTAGCATAAATTCAGATGACAAACAGTATCAAATAATTCCAAACAATTAACGGGATTATAAACGTTCTCACACAAAAGAGTAAGTCTCTGAGATTATGGGTGGCCGTGACCCCGATTGGTCATTGAGGTACACGTATTGCTGAACTTCTTAAATATGTACAATGGTTATGCAGTTATTAAAGAAATAAGAGAGCCAGCGAAATGGCTCAGCAGGTAAAGGTGCTTGCCACCAAGCCTGATGACCTGAGTTCAATACCTGGAACCCACATGGCGGAAGGAGAGAACTAACTTCTTCAAGTTGTCCTCTAACTTACACATGTGCACTGTGGCACATGTGCATACACACACACACACACACACACACATAATACATAAACAAACAAACAAATAAATAATAAATAAATAAATGGAATTGTGAAAACTTTAAATTCTCTTTAAGAAAAATAGACAAAAGAGCACAATAAGAAAATGAAGCCCACAGGATCTAGGACATATTTAAAATTTGTATTTCTTTTTTTTGAGTATGAGTGTTTCACCTGCATGTTTGTAAGTGCACCATTGCATGCAGTGCCTGAAGAGGCCAAAAGAGGGTCTTCTATCTTCTGGAACTGACATTATGGACGATTGGTTGTTAGCTGCCATGTGGGTGCTGGAAACTGAATCCGGGTCCTCTGCAAAGGCAGCTAGTGCTCTTAACTGCTGACCCATCTCCCTAGCCCCTAACACTTTTTCATAATATGAGTGTGATATGTGGGCTGAGGAAACGGCTTAGTCAGGAAAGTACTTGCTGCACAAGCAAGAAGACCTGAGTATGATCTCCAGAACTCACTTAACATAGCTGGGTGTGGTGGCACACTTACAATCCCAGTGCTGGGGATGTGGAGGCAAGAAGATCTCTCGGGCTGGCTGGCCAGTCAGCCTCACCTAATCAATGAGTCCCAGGCCAGTGAGAGGCCCTCTCTCCAAAAACAAGGTGGATGACACCTGAGGAATAAAACCCAAGGTTGTCCTCTGACCTTTACACACACAAATGCATGCATGCACATCCACACATACACATATACACTGCATGCATACACCCTCCCACACAAATATGGTATATAATTTATGCTAAATGATTTTTATTCATATTAAAAAATACATAATAGCATACATTTATGTTAAATTATGCATAATGGCTATGCAGACCATGTTCTTATTACCAATTATCATTTAAAGATTTATTTCTGTATTTATTTATAATAATGTGTATATGTGTGTGGGTTTGTACACATGGGTGCAGTACGCTTGGAGGCCAGCAAAGGGCATTGGATCCCCCTGAAAGGGGTATCAAGCCCCTAACTGTGGCTGCTGGGAACCGAACTACAGTCCTCTGCAACAGCAGCACAAGCTCTTAATGGTTCAACCATCTCTTCTGTCTCCCCTGGCCCCCCAATCATCATTTATTTCCTCTTTCATGGAGATGTCAATCTCAAAGACCTCTAAACCCCACATTCAAATGCATCATTTTTCCAGGCACCTCAGCACTCCATACCCACAGCACATTCTTCTCCTGGGTCCTCCATTCTTGGTCAGAACCCCACAAGCTCCAACTGCAACATCTTTGCTGTGTCTTCACCTCACACCCATATACAACCAATCAAATGTCCACCTGCTCTTGCTTCAGAAACTCCCTTGGCCTCCTGCCCCATTGTCCTAGGCTTCCCCTTGGTCTGTGTTTTGTTCCTAGGATACAGCGGCTTCTGTCATGGTCACCCTGTCTCCTGGGATACACTCATCCCATCACCTTGATTGTCTTACCCCTAAACTTGCTCCCCAGCCAATCCACTAGAGGTGGGCCAGTGAGATGACTCAGTGGGGAAAGGTACCTGCTTCCAAGCCTAACCACCTGAGTTGGATCCCAGGATCTACATAGCAGAAGAAGAGAACTCATTCCTACAAGTTACACTCTGACCATACACAGGCCATGGGATATGCATGTGTGCTCCCACATGCACACAGATAGATGATTGATAGATGATAGATAGATAGATGATAGATAGATAGATAGATAGATAGATGATAGATAGATGATAGTTATACATAGGCAGATAGATGATAGATAGAGATGATGATAGATAGATAGATGATAGATAGATAGATAGGTAGATAGATAGATAGATAGATAGATAGATGATAGATAGATAGATAGATATAGATGATAGACAGATAGATTGAGAGATGATAGATAGATAGATAGATAGATAGATAGATAGATAGATAGATAGATAGAGACAGATATAAAGCATCCATTAGCCATTCTGGCTCTAAAGTCTCAGTCATGGGCAGAGGCAGAGGATACCATTCCTGACCTTTATAACATCCAGAGAGGCCCAGGTAAAGATTTAGACACACCCAAGTATTCCAGGCAGAAAAGCATTTGCTCTCAACACTACTCAATGTGTTAAGTCTCAACTTGGTGCCAATGTGTCTATTATTTGGTTAGTTGGTTTGTTATTTTCAAATTTATAAAATTTGGGGGCTGGAGAGATGGCTCAGCAGTTAAGAAAACTGGCTGCTCTTAGAGAAGACCAGGGTTCGATTCCCTGGTGGCTAACAACTGTCTGTAACTCTAGTTCCAGGGGATCCAACGCCCTCTTCTGACCTCTGTGGGCACTGCACGACACCAGTGTATTTACACACATGCAGGCAATATACTCATACACAAAAAGTAGAAATAATTTTAAAAGCATTTAAAAGTTCATTAATTATTGCATGCATGTGTGTGTGTGTGTGTGTGTGTGTGTGTGTGTGTGTGTGTGGACGTGTGTGTAGTCACAGCACGCATGTGGAAGTCAGAAGACAATGTTTGGGACTCTGTTCTCTCCTTCTACCATGGGGATCTAGGGATTGAACTCAGGTCGCCCATAGCACATTCTTTTACCAGCTGAGCCATCTCTCCAGCCTTTACTTTCTTTGCTTGAGAGACCACCTATGGAGCTCAGATTGGCCTAGAAGTCACTCTGTAGCCCAGGCTGGCCTCAAACTCCTGTCCTCTTGCCTCTGCCTCCTGAATGCCGGGGTTACAAGCATGTACCATCATGCTCACCAGCTGTGCCTTAAGCTTCACTCCTGTTGAGGTCTCTTACTAAGGAAAGGAGAGCAGCTTCAGGCTTCAGAAGGGAGCCCAGGTCAGAACATAGAACACTCTGGTATTTGCTTTCTTTTACTGTGTTTATTCACATAGTTACTCTCAATAACTGTAAAAACATAAAAATGAAAGTGCTGGAGAGATGGCTCAGCAGTTAAGAACACTGGCTGTTCTTGTAGAAGACCTGGGTTCGAATCTCAGCACCCACATGGCAGCTACCAACTGTCTGTAACTCCAGTTCCAGGGGATCTGACAGCCTCTTCTGTCCTCCGAGGCACTGCACAACACAGGTGCACTTACCTACATGCAGGCAATACACACATACACATAAGAATAATAATAAATAAAATATTTTTAAAAACATAAGGGGGAAGGGGAAAAACATAAAAATGAAAAGGGAGCTGGCTTTCCCTCTACCACTGTGGAGTAAGATCTCCCTGGGAAATTCATGGAGGCACATTTTAAAAGCAAGCTGACTCAAGGGTGCTGGTGGGAGTGTCTGTTGGCCCAACCGCTGAGAAAAAACTATACAGTGCCATCTGATAAAGCTGAACACAGACATACCCTAGGGAGCAGCTGTTCCTCTTGAAGACACCTACACAATGTAAATGGAAATCTGTGTCCACTTTTTTGTGGATGCCCATACGCTTCTGACTACATTAAAAACAAAGCTATTCAGGAACTGGGGAGATGGATTAGTGGGTGAAATACCT